TTTAAAAAGTATTTTATTTATTATTTTATGTGTATGAGTGTATTGCCTGCATGTATGTGAGTGCACCCGTCTTGTGCAATGCCACGGAGGTCAGAAGAGGGCTTTGGATTCCCCTGGAACTGGAGTTAAGGACGGTTTGTAGCCACCATGTGGGTGCTGGGAATCGAATCCGGGTCCTCTGCAAGAGCAGTCAGTGCTCTTAACCGCTAAGCCATCTCTCCAACCCTTTTTTCGCTCTTTTTGAGACAGGGTCTCCCAGCTGGCCTGGAACTCATGTACACCAGGCTGGCCTTGAACTCACAGAGATCCGCCTGCCTCTGCCTCCTGAGTGCTGGGATTCAAGGCATGCGCCACCACGCCTGGCTCTACCTATTTCTGTCTAGTTTACTAAACTACACTCTAATAACAAGCACTCACTTTCCATGATACACACAAAGAAGGCAATGTTCAAATGTGTGCAATCCTCCCAGAGAAATGTTCTCATCTGTTACCTTAAGTGCCACCCAAGTCTCAGCCATTCAAGGAGGCATACTGGACTGCAGAGGAGTAAAGGTATGAGAAAACTAACCCTTAATCTAGTTGAATTATGCTATCTTTCTTATAGTTATGAAACTCAACAGAATATGTGTGAAACAGGACTTTTTTTTTTTTTCTTCTCTTTTTGAGACAGGGTCTCCCTGTAGGTGCAGCTGTCCTGGAACTCACTATGGAGACCAGGCTGGCCTCGAACTCACAAAGATCCGCCTGCCTCTGCCTCCCAAGTGCTGGGATTAAAGGAGTGTGCCACCACGCCCGGCCATTTTAAGTTAACAATAATTACAACTCACATACTAATTACCCAGCTCAAAAAATAAAATATTACTACTATCTTCAAAGGCCTCTATAAGTTCTTCTAACATGATAATATGATCTTTTCCTAATTTAAGATGGAAACTACCACACTGAATTTTGTTGTCCTTCCTTTATTTTCTCATAATTTGTATATTAATCCTCCTGCCTTCATACCTCCCAAGTGCTGGGATTACAAAGGCATGTATCACCACACCTGTATGCTTTTCTAACTTTTAACAGATACAATTCATCTGTATATATTCTAACATGACTTGTTTTCAAAACCCAGTATTTTGTTTTGAAAATTCCTGCTTGATGTATATAACTGGAGTTCATTCCCTTTCATTGTTGAATAAACAATACTGCTGTTGCATACATATACGAAGATATATTTTATCAATTTTGCAGCATATAATGATCTGGGTTATTTCCAGAGATTTTTGTTTAGTTTTATGTTTTAAGTCAATTATCACAATGCAGCAACAAACACCGTATTCAATCCTTGGAGAACATATTTAATCTCCAAATTAGGACACTGTATGTATGTATGTATGTATGTATGTATGTATGTATACATGCATGAATGGATGTAGTCTTTCTGTGACATGGTTTCCTTGTAGCCCCAGCTGGCCTGAACTTACTATATAGACCAGGCTGGTCTCAATTTCATAGAGATCTGCCTGCCTCTGCCTCCTGAGTGCTGGGTAGGACACCCATTTATGAATGAAGCCATTGTGTTGTTAAATATGTCCATCTTTACTAGGCAATGTGAAATAATTTTTCAAATGGTTTTATTTATCAGTTTGATTATTTTATTTTTAGCATGTATACCAGCTCGTAATTTGTTGAATGTTTTAACAAGTAAGATATAGTAAAATCAGTAAAATTTAGTTACTTATCATTAAATAATATGACAGTACATCTAGATTACATTAAAATAAGTGACAGAGGCAGACTGTTTGCTCTAGTACACATGAGACTTTGGGTTCAACAGCCAACAACATAGACACACTATTAATAATAATAATACATTTAAAATAAAAAGTCAGGTGGGGCATGGTATCAATGCCTATAATTTTAGCAAAATGCTAAGGCAAGATTGTGAGGTCAAGGTCAGCCTGGGCCACAGAGCAAGACTGTGTCTCAATGCCTCCTTCAAACCCAAAACAAACCAACCAATAAACCCAAAACAAACAAGCAAACAAAAAAGGTATGGGATTTAACAGAGGTAGAACATATGCCTTACATATGAAAGATTCTAGGTTCAAAATTAGCACTACAAAATTAATCAACTAATTAATTACTTGATTAATTAAAAGAAAGGTTTAAATTACCCAAGTTCTAAGGTATCTTGTTTGTAGATTTTCATGTATCTTCTTGGTTCTAACCATATCCTATATAGCAATGGAAATTAATAATACCCTCTCTTCCCACAATCCACTTGAATTAGGTGAGCTACAAAGAAATGTTCCTTTTGTCTGAAATTTAGTATCAACTTTCATTTTACTCTCCCTAGTATTTTCAGAAGCTGGCATATGTGGGGCTGGAGAGATAGCTCAGCGTTTAAGAGCACTGGTTGCTCTTGTAGAGGTTCCATTCCCAGCACCTACATGGTGGCCAACAACTGTATGAAACTCCAGTTCCAGGAGACCTGATGCCCTCTACTGTCCTCCATGGAATTGCATGACACAGGTGCACTTACATATATGCAGGCAACACACTCAAACACATAAAATAAATAAAAAAAAACTATATAAAAAAGTTGGCATGTGCTATGATTCCAACAGTGTACATGAAAACATGAGACAGTTTCTAGGCCACTCCAAATCCCAGAATTCCTAAATGCTTAAGGACTCCTGTGTAAATAGGCTAATTTATCCCAACAGCCCCACTCTTATTTTCTAGACCATAAAGGGGTTCATACAACTCTAATTCTGTCAGCCAGGCATGATGGTGCACTTGGGAAGTAGAAGCAAGAGGATCATGAGCTCAAGGCCAACTTTGGCTACATAGCAAATTTGAGGCCAACCTAGGATAGACGAGACCCTGTTGCTCCCCCCAAAAAGTCATATTTCTCTGCCAGCAGTCATATAAAATTATTCTAAAACATCTCCATACAAATTAATCCAATAGTGATCCTCAATCTCACAGCAAGGAATATTCACAATACTGAAATATCACACCAAAGTGACTCCTAAGTAAGTGAGAGTCCTCTATTATTTAGGGAATAAAGATAAGAAAAACATAAGGCCACTAACCAAAAACAGGATCTCTTAGAAAGGTTTGGTGGATTACTCTAGGATTCTTCTCCAAATTAAAGCTACATTAAAAAAAAAAAACAAAAAACAAAGTACCAAATATAAGCTGTGTAGAAATTGCCAGAAGCCTCATAAAATGCTCTACCACAGCTGCTGTTAAGTTTTGCATACCCTATTAGCCAAGGATTTTATTCCTTCTGATAGCATTCACTTGCACCAGATAACACTACCATATATACAATATTAACAAATAAAAATGAAGAGCTGAGGCTGTAGCTCAGTTGGCAGAGTACTGGTCTCACATACATGGGGCATGGCTTCAATCCCTAGCACCAATAAATGGGGCACAGGCTGTAATCCTGGCACTCGTGGTGGTGGCAGGAGGATCAGAAATTCAAGGTCATCTTGCTACTTATTGAGTTCCAGGTCAGCCTGGGTCATATGAAACTGTCTCAAAACCAAAAAGACCTTAGTTCATAACAGAATTTTTTTTCCTTTAAAAATTTTGTTTCTAAAGTTTTCAGGTATTATAACAGAACCAATCTACTACTAGTGCAGAGCATAAAACCAGAGAAAAAGCAAGACTCCCAATAAGGCATGCCTCATTGATGGCACATGCCTTTAGTCCCAGCACTTGGGAGGCAGAGGCAGGTGAATCTCTGTGAGTTCAAGCCCAGCCTGGTCTACAGAGCGAGTTCCGGGCCAGCTGGGGCTATGGGGAGACCCTTTCTCAATAAGACGCCCCCCAAAAATTACTTTTATGT